AGATAGATAGATAGATAGATAGATAGATAGATAGATAGATAGATAGATAGATAGATAAATAGATAGATATAGATATAGATAGATATATAGTCTGCCCCATTAGAAAGTGAGCTCCTTTAAGGCGGGGGCCGTGTTTCTCCTTTTCTTTGTACTCCCATTGCTTAGCACTGTGCCTGGCACTGAGTAAGTGACTAATAAATGCTTGTTGGCTGATTGAACATTTATAATATAACAACTATAGCAAGGGCTGGGTGCTGGGCATTAGGATTACAAAGGTGAAAACAAGACCATTCACCTCCTCAGGGACCTATTCAAACAAGAGAATACAAGATGCATGCAAATAGATAAGAGAAAATGGGAGAGCAGAAAAGAAAAGGACCAGCTCCAAGCTAGCTGGATGGGGATCCCTTTCACTTTTGGGGGGTGGGGGTAGAAAAGACTTCAGGGGGAAATGACACCTGAGATGGGCCTTGAAAGAAAAGAGGGGCTTCAATCCAAGTAAGGGGAGGAAAGGGGAGCAAGGGGAAAGCTTGAGTAAAGGAAAGATGCAAAAAAGGCATAGCAGGATGAGTCTGGGGCACACTGAGTCAGAGGCAATGGGGAGCCTCCTGGAGCTTCTGAGCAGGAGACAAGACTGGCTCAGATCTGTATGGAGGGTATCTTGGAAAGAGGAACAGGAGCCAGGAATCCAGGCTGGTGGGCAGGGAGAGGCCATTTCAATACCTGCTGGGAAAGGGTCCCCAGGCCAGAGCCTTTGGGCACATGCTTCATTGCCCTGGGAATCATCCTGACCATCCCTACCCCATGTGGAGGCCTTTACTCAGGCGCTGACTCAGGTCTTCCTGGTTCCGAGGCCAGCTTTCTCTCCACTATACCACCCATGAGTACATTGCAGAGAAAGTGACCGCCTGCATGGGCAGAAGGAGTTCCCTCACCAGAGAGATTGGAATACCAGTAAAATCACAGGTCCAGCTCCCTCATACCCAGCTCAGAGTTCCCCCAAGGTCTCCCCTGGGTCTCCAAGCAGAGATCCAAGAATAGCCCCCAGCCCTGTTTCGAGGGGTCCCTCCCAACCCCATCTGGTTGTACCCATCTGGTTAGCTACCTCTCAGACCTGGAGCGGCTGGTGACCCCTGGTTATGTGCCCACGGAGCAGGACGTACTGAGGTCCCGAGTCAAGACAACAGGCATCATTGAGACCCAATTCTCCTTCAAGGACCTCAACTTCAGGTAAGGAGGCCAAACTCACTGAGCCTCCATCCCCCTTCCTGAGGCCTTGTACCTTTCCTGAGCCCTCTGTCTCTTCACTGAACTTTCATTACTCCTCCCTGAGCCCTCCAACCCTCTCTAAGACCATCCCTCTCCCTGAGCCTTCATCCTTCTTCTTAAGCCCCTGTCTTCTAACTTTTCAGTGAATTTCCATCTCCTTTCTTGGGTCCTCCATCTCTCCCCTAAAACCTCCATACCCTTCCCTAAGCTCTCGTCCTGCCTCCCTCATCTCTGCCCTGTACACTCCATCCCTCTCCAGGTGTCCTCCTTCACCAACCATAACAATCTCCCCATCTCTATTTCTGCTCCATAGGCCTCCTTTATGAACTCCCCCTGCCTCCCAAACCTCAAGCCCTGGGGCTGAGATTCCTTAAACAAAACTGGGGCTCACTAAACATTTACCATTTGTTTTTCTGGGAGGGATGGGTCAGGCCCCCTCCTCCTCTGGTGAAGGGGGAGCCTGGGGCCAGGAGATTTGCGGGTGGTGTCCCAGGAGGTGCCCTATTCTCTGGCAGAATGTTTGACGTGGGAGGCCAACGTTCCGAGAGGAAAAAATGGATACACTGCTTCGAAGGCGTCACCTGCATCATCTTCATTGCGGCTCTCAGTGCCTACGACATGGTGCTGGTGGAAGATGATGAAGTGGTGGGTATAGGCCCTTATCTTAAAGAAGCCTCTTGCCTGAGGGAAAACCCTTGGAGAAGGTTTGGGGGTTCAATCAAGAGTTAGTATCAGGGTGTTCTTCCCTGTTGGTCTATCATCTATCCCTGCATCTCATGGTCCTCTGTCCATTGTCCCTCATCTAGCCCTAGATTGGCTAATACTCAGGGGCCTCTTGTCAGGAAGCCCTTTCAGGGCTTCTTCCAGGGCCTACCACCACGCTCCCAATTGTCATCTCATCTGCTGCCCTCTGTCTGATAATCAGGGATCAGCGGTTGGGTATCAGGCATGCAGTAGAGGACTAAGGCATGGGCCACCCTATCTCCCAGCATGATCACACTTATCTGGGACAGATTGCCCTGAGTACCCATGACATGACTTTCATGGGGCATACCTTGACATTTCTCTGGCTTAGAGAAAGGAAACCTGAAGCTTGTCCCCACCAACCCACAGTGATGCTGTGCCCAGGGCTCTCCCCTCACAAGAACTTGTATCCTAAGGTCTTACCCCTTCCCCTCCAATGAATTTTCCCTGGGCTCCAGACTTCCTAGTTATGGGTTTGCCAGCATCCAACCTGCTCTCTCTCCACCCCTGCCCCCAGAACCGGATGCATGAGAGTCTTCACCTGTTCAACAGCATCTGTAACCATCGGTACTTTGCCACAACATCCATTGTCTTGTTCCTTAACAAAAAGGACGTTTTCACCGAGAAGATTAAGAAGGCTCATCTCAGCATCTGCTTCCCTGACTATGATGGTGAGAGAGGGCTAGCCCTGCATTGGCCCCTGACCAGCTGCCAAAGCCTTAGCCCCACTGTCCCTGCCCTGGCTGCTTGCTGGGAGTGCCCCAGGGCTCCTAACTTCAGAATCTGAAGTTAGGGCGACTCCCTACCTCTCTGCTCTCCTCACTTCCAGGAGCCTGTGTGTTCCAAGCATGACCACTAGATGGCATGTTATCTCCACCAAAATCCCCACTAGGCTGTAGCTGCCATCTCTAGAAGTCCTTTGTAGGGAGAGTAGGGCTCTCCTGGAGGTGCCTCCGACAGATTCCTGAAACTTGACTGTGACTTTCCATCTCCATTTCTGAATGGAGATCCTCAACCCCAGTTCTTAATCTCCATTCTTGAACCCATCCGCCTCCCAGCCATGACCCCACCATTCCTCTCCCAAACTCTCTCACCCTCATCCCAGGCATCCTATTCTTAAGCCTGACCCTCTGTCCCTGAACCCTCCCCTCAGTCTCCAGTGTTTATGCTCCATCTCAAGTCCTACCCATCTCCATGTCCAGCCCTTGACCCTTCATCCCTATCCGTGTTTCCTTCTTCCCCAGCCCTCTATGTCCTTCTCCAACTCCCCCCCCCCCCCCCCCCCCCCCCCCCCCCCCCCCACAGCCCCAGTCCTGGAGTAGTCGCTCCATTACTGGACCCTTTATCCCTATCCTATACTGACTTCGTCATACTTGCCACTGACTCCTACTCCCACCTCCCCGCTGCTCCCCGCCCCGATATTACATCCTCCATCCCTGACTCTGACTCCTCATCCCCAACCTCATCCTTTACACCCTCCTCCACTCCCTCGCGTGCCCCGGCCCTTTGGAACCCAAGCCTTGTTGGAAGGGCTAGGCAGGGCCAGGGTGCTGGGGGATGGACGGGAGGGCCGGGAAGTTGAGCTCCATCAGAGTCCACGGGACCAGCCCCTTCTCCATCTGGATCCCCTCAGGCCCCAACACCTACGAGGATGCGGGGAACTACATTAAGGTACAGTTTCTGGAGCTGAACATGCGGCGAGACGTGAAGGAGATTTACTCGCACATGACGTGCGCCACAGATACCCAGAACGTCAAGTTCGTCTTCGACGCGGTCACCGACATCATCATCAAAGAGAACTTGAAGGACTGCGGCCTCTTCTGAGCCGGTGAGGACCGGCCTGTCCGGCGCAGGCCCTGCCCGAGTCCTCCTGCCTCCTCCCCTGACTCTCCGCAGGCGCCAGCTCGGAGCCGAGCAGGCGTCCTCCTCCCCAACAAGCCCCTCCCCTCCCCTGTCTCCCCACCCCCGCTACCCGGCTCCATCCCGCCCCGTAGCTCAGTCTGGGAACGTTGGTCATCATCTTCTCCACTCCAGACTTCGATCACGTCCCCGGACCCTGATCCTTCCCTGGATGCTGACCCGGACTAAGTTCCAGACCTCGACCTCATCCTCCCTCTTGGGCCACCCCCACCCCAGCCTCCTGGGTCGCCTGCCTCCCCTTCCCAGGGCCACCCGCACCATGGGACACCAGGGGCTCTGTAGACACACACACACACACACACACACACACACACACACAGAGCTGACTCTCTTTCCCTTTTTTCTGTCCCCAGGTTTTTGCCTGGCCCAGACTATGGAGCCATCCTGCAGCACTCGTTCATTCATTCCATCAGGATTGTGCACAGAGAACCTACTGTGTGCAGAGCACTGTGCTGGGGGTGCTATGAAATTTAGATAAGCCAGGATCTTGGCCTCAGAAGCTAAGCTGTCTAGGAATACGCACTTCCCACGTCCATAGCTCTTTAAGATTTCAGTCTGAGTTGCATAAAGCATTGCTCACACCAGCACTGTGGGATAGGTAGTGCTGATGATTATCTCCATTTTACAGATGAAAAAACTGAGCTCAGGGAGATGAAGAGACTTGCAGAGGTCACACAGCTAGTAAGTGTGGGAGTCAGGATTCGATTCCAGGTCTCCTGACCCCAAGTCTGCTCTCTTTCTGCTAGGCCTAGGATATGCTGCCCCATAGGTAGCCCCCTGAGTTGATTTCCTTGAGTTCCTGCCCATTTTCTTTTCCAGACCTCTCCTTTATTCCCCCAGGATTGGGCACCCCAGCTGAATCCAGGGGCTCAATCTCTTTTAGCCCCCAACCCTACTCCAGCTCAGCCAAGACCTCTCCTGTTTAGCAGGGTAAGGACCAGGCTTCTGAATTATTCTGGGCCTAGGTTTCCCTAAGGACAACCTCTCATGAGGTGGATGGTGGCATTCAAAGAACAGTGGAAGACAAGGGCTGAAGTGGGGTTGAGGAACTGAGGGGACGCTCCCAGAGTCATGGGGTCCATCTGGGCAGACAGGTTCTTGTAGCCACTGTCCAAGGGGTTTAGGCCCCAGAAAAGGCCCATCAAGCAGACCACTCCCTTCCCCACCCTCCCCACACCCACATACACCAGGGAACTACCTCTAACTGCTTCCTCAATCCCAAGCCCCACCTTCCCTTTCTCCCAGTCAGACACCATAGCCCAGGCTTCTGGCTGAGTCTTCCTCAAGCCGGCCAGCCCAGGAACAAGATGGGGGGGG